TATTTTGCAAATCGTAATTATGTTACATGCCAACATATAAGCAGTGCTATTACGTTGGTCCTTAACGTAATACTATTGCAGTGCTATTACGTTTTTCCTGAACATAATACATCCAAGCAGGTTTCTTTACTATTTATGCATAATCGTGGCATTAAAATTTTGACTCTTTTGCATTCAACTGTCATATCAATTAAGTTTTCCTTCGCATTTATTAATATAATAGACCAACGTTACTCATAAATATATAAAAAGCATTTTCTCCAATAAAACACAACATACTGATACATTCACAAAAGACATACATTTTATTAGCTTGATGTAAACCAAATCCTAGAATCCATACGTTGTTTGCAAGAAACAGATTCAAATCCAGCCTTTTATCCAGTGATCTTCATCTTCATTTCTCAGCAGCGACCGCAAACGTCAAATCCGCGCTGGTGATTAATTCAAATTCAAATAATGCGCCTTCAAGAAGCGTTACGACATGTTTTACGGCAGTGATATCAAACGCTCATTGGCTCTCGCCTGCTTCGTCACAGATTGCGACATGCCGTGTTTCAGTCGGTGTAGTACATTCACATTTGAAATGGAGAAGAGCGCGCGCCTTCAGACAGAGAGCGAACCGAAATCAGATTAACATTTTGGATTAACGTTAATAACTTTAATTCTGATCTGTACCTCATACACAACTACTATAATACTGCCAGAGGACTGCGACTGCAACGCATCATCATGTGAACGACTTTTGGTAATGTTAATAATAAATAAATAAATTATTGTGAAATGTATCTGTCTGTTATGGTTTTTTTTTCTTAATTGTGTTACCTACGTAGTTTTAAGGAATGGTTATGGTTAGGTTTAGGGATAGGAGTGGGATTAGTGGCTCAAAATATATTTTAATGCTAAAACTCATTTAACTACACATCTCTGTCCATTACGTTTTATCCTTTTTATATTCTGTATAAAATAAATATGTTTTTTTTTTGGAGTAGGATTAAGGGGTCTTGTTACATTTATCTTTAAAAGTGAAAGTATACAGATATCGTTATGATATGAAACATATGTAAATAGTTAACGTTTTGTAGCTGTAAAAACGTAATAAGGTTACGTTTAAATGTTGCAAATACGTCCATATTATACGTTTTAGCATCTATCCAAACGTACAAAAACGTACGTTACATATCTTTGAAAATAACATATTAAATCTACGTATTAACAATGAGACATATTATGTTAAGGACCAACGTAATAGCACTGCTTATATGTTGGCATGTAACGTAATTGCGATTTGCAAAATAGTTTCCTCAGAACGTATTTCGTGTGATACAGGGTTGCAGAATTGCGAGAAAAAGGTCAGAATTGCGAAATATGAATTTGCAATGCGAGAAAGTCAGAGTTTATATCCCACAATTCTGGCTTTATAATTCGCATTTGCAATGTGTAAATTTTTTTCCCCACAATTTTCTTTATTTTTTTTTTTTCCATGGCAAAACAAGCTTCCAAAGTATAATATTGTACTACCTAGGTAATAAAACAGTGCATTTTAAACTAGAAGTGCAACAGAAACAGACTTTCTGTTGCATCATTTGTGTTTTTGTGCTGTTTATTGAATTTAAAAGGCATGAGATCAGTGGAAGTAAAAAAAAAAGATAGACTTTGAACTGTTATTTTTAAAAGCTGGATCTTTTCGGTGAAGCATATGGGAAGGAGTGAATTTTTTTTTTTAAATGGAAATTCATGAGAAAGAGATGTGAGTTTTGATGTGGTTGATTCTTCAGTTAAAAATCATGTCATGTTAACAGTCAGTTAATATCCCAATCTATTTGAGCAAATTGGATTAATATAAACAAACTGCTTCCAAAAATGATTGGCTGATTCTTTTAAATAATCATTTAGTTGTGTTCCTGGAGCTCGTTTTATGTCTTTTAGTGATGATTTTTCTGCAAACAAAGATTTTAATGCTCTGACTGTCAGGCGATTAGTCACCACATAATGTCTAAATATAGGTTTCGCATTTTATTCGTTTCATACGCTGTTCTGCGTATACCAATACGTCACGTGCTGGATGCCTCCACTCACCCCTTTATAACTCTAGATTAGAATAACTATCTTTAGCAGCAGCAGGATTCATCGCCATCTCTTCCTCTAAACACCCACACATGAGAGAGATGCCACTCTGAGGGTTTCAGCCTAGACTAATGTTTTACATATAAACACCTATTATATCATTTGAGTATAAAAGGGATAATTCACTCAAAAATAACATTTTGTTTATGGTGATCTTTTCCTCTAAAGGGGCCATGACATGTATTTTTAATTATTATTATTTTGTATTTTCCTTAAGGTTCACTTGTAATGCTAACAAAGAAAAAAAAAAACTATTATTTTCATAGATAATATGAAAATAACCCTGTCTAGAATTATGTTTTTAAAGAGCGGCTCCTTCAAAGGAGTAGTTCACTTCAGAATTTACATTTTCTGATCATTTCCTCTCCCCCACGTCATCCAAGATGTCCATGTCTTTCTTTCTTCAGTTTTTTTCTCAAGTTTTTTGAGGAAATTCCAGGATTTTTCTCCATATAGTGGACTTCAACGGTTTGAAGGTCCAAATTGCAGTTTCAGTGCAGCTTCATAGGCTCTACATGATCCCAGCCGAGGAATAAGGGTCTTATCTACACCTAAAAAAAAAAAAAATGCATATGCTTTTTAATCACAAAAGCTCGTCTTGCACTAGATCTGCGATGCACGACACATTACAAAATCACGTTGAAAGGTCAAGCGTGACGTAGGCTTTAAGTACAGATCTAGTGTTTTCCTTTTTTCAAAGCGCTACGGCGGATAAGCTCCGGTTGGTTCTTGTCACGTGACCTACTGTGCGTTTATGGTGCGCTTGCGGCATTCTGAAAAGTTGAGATGTTTTTATCTCGATGCGGCGCAGACGTGCTTAGAAAAAACGACCGCGTCGTTTTCATTATGAGCGCGCATACCGCGCACCTACATTTGAACTTGAGCGCGCAAAATACGCGATATGTGAACAGGTCCTAAGTCAATCGCCATTTACCCCCAAAAAAAGAGAGGGTAAAACAACGGATTTTAGCTAACATCAGGTTACCGCCGTTACCGACCTTTACAACGTGATTATGTAATGCGTGAAGTCGTGGACGTGCAAGACGAGCATTTGTGGTAAAAATATATATAAATGTTTAGATTTTTTTTAGAAAATGGCCGATGGTTTCTCTAGATAAGACCCTTTTTCCTAGCCTGGGAAAGCCCATACAACTTCCGTCAAATTTAGATTTGCTCTGAAAGTTAGTCTGGAGCTCATTCAAGCCCATTTCCAATCCGTCGAAATGGCGGCACCAATCAGAAGCGTTTGGGCGGGGTTTACACGATGACGACAGCGCTGGGATTTTTAAGCAGATTTTGTAGCGTATATTACAAAGATGGATGCCGCCGTCGAACATCACTCATTCGAATCAGCTATCGCGTCTGTTTTAAGCGTTTTGAACTTTCCTTTTTGTTAAAAACTGAGCAAAGAACAACACTCTGAGATGTTTCTCCACCGCTCTGTATATGTCAACTCCTTCATTGCTCTGATTGGTTTTAGGTCTGTCCGTGACGTCCATTGGTGACGCCCCTCTGGAAATGATGTTGTCTATGATGCTTTGCCAGACCATAACTCGGTTACAACTGAAAATGGTCTGGTTTTAACCAGGCTACATTTTTCCTCAAAAACCTTAATTTCTTTTCGACTTAATAAAGAAAGACATGCATATCTTGGATGACGTGGGGGAGAGTAAACTATCAGGAAATTTTAATTCCGAAGTGAACCACTCCTTTAAAGCTTGTCATTAAACGCCCACTGTTCTGCTAATGTCATTGCATAGGAAACGGTATCAGCCGACTCGCTATTGCTCATGACTAAGTGTTTTGAAAACATTTTTAACTGTTTGCTGCAATTCGCAACCTCACCACTAGAAATTGCTAAAATATACACACCGCACCTTTAAGCTATGAAACTTGCAGGATGTTTTAAAACAAATGTCAAAAGATCCAAGCAAATCTTCTTGACCCTTTATCTTGGTCTTTCTTCAGACTCTTGCTGACACATTTGCATGTGTTGTTCTTAGTGAAGCTTCCCCTCTTTTTTGGGACATAGGGGCTCAGATTAAGGCCGCTGTCCGCCTCAGTGCTTTAGGGTTGAGGACGCTGTTTTCATCCCAAACAGACCTGACATCTGACCTGGATTTCAGATCCAGAGAGACAGCAGGACAGAGATCAAGATTCAAAGTGGCAAAAGTGATTAGAATGTGGAGAGAATGACCAGATGAATGTTGGTGGAGAAGTCCGAGAACACTTTGAAAATGTATTTTTTTCATTTAAAGCTGAAAATAAATGGATATTACCATTTTGAACAGTTACAGCACATAATGACACAGCAACGCCTGAAGATAGAATTGCGTTTTATTTAAAAAACAATCCTAAATATAAAATTATTTGGACTATATATGCATAAAAAAATACATCATAAGCCACGAAACTGGATTGAATAACAATAACTAGGTGGATTTTATCTGGGACAAAAATATATTTAATACACATTATATGTTCAAAAGATTTGTGTCAGTGAGAATGCTTTTGAAAGAAGTCTCTTCTGCTCATCAAGGCTGCATTTATTTGATGAAAACACAGTGAAAACAGTAACACCGTGAACAAGTATTACAATTTAAAATAGCTTTTTTCAATTTAAATATAATGTATTCTTGTGATTAAAGATGGATTTACTCCATTCTTCAGTATCACATGATTCATGGATGTTTTAGGAAAAAGGTATAGTAAACTGTTAGACTTATAAAGCTTAATTGCTTAGTATCTGTGAATGAGGTAAATGATCCCCGTTTATGATAGATTGTGTACATCAGCACTGTTCTCACTTCCTGTCCCTCCTCAGCTGTAAGCAGCCTCTCACCATGTGTGTTTTCTGGTGTGTGTCCACACAGGTCTCGGTCCATCAGCGGGGCGTCCTCTGGTCTCTCCACCAGTCCTCTCAGCAGCCCACGGGTGAGTAAGCTCCGCCCCCAGCACACCTGCTCCTGTCTGTCCACCAATCAGCACGCAGCTGCTCAATCACCTTCATGGCAACCATCACACACGTTACACTGCACAAACTACACGACTGTGAGTGGTGGAGTTGTCTTGATAAAAAAAAGAATTTGGATTTTTTTTGTTGGCTGTGACATTTTACATTTGGAGTGGACTATACATATATGCAGATGATGGTAATAAGCAAGGTGCTCTTGACTTTAGGATCTTAGTAGGTGAGTGTTTTGGTGACAATTCATTGGGAAGTATTTGTTTTAAGCCCTAATGACTGGAAAGCATAAAAAATGAACTGGTCGTAAGGTGTAGGATGCCTGGAAATAGCATTCTGGCCTCTAGCAAGCAAAGTAAACAAGAAAGGGAAGAATGCAAAAGTGAGTCGTAGAAGAAAGCAGTTTTTGTTTCATGGAGATATATCCTTTCATCCTATCTGCTGGAAATCCAGCTCAGGGAAGGCTGTAGAAAATCCCACTCCTCTGATTAGCACAGAAGCTCTTGGCTACACTTTTCCAGTTGACTTGTTTAAGACAGCTCACAGATTACAGAGGCCTTGCACTAAAGCTCAGCAACGTATAGAACAGTTTCCAAGTGGAAATTGATTTAGAAGTTTACTCTAAATCTGTATGTCACATGAAATGTGTGGATTTTAAAGACATTATTTTCATGTTTGACATGAATTAGGTTAAAGGTGCAATACCTAAGATCTAGATGCCGCTAGAGGGCGCTACATTCAAAACAACAACAACGGCTTTGCTTGATGACGCCGTGGAGGAACGCGGAATGATGGGAACTGTTGTTTTCAACTCCACCGTGGATAAATCAGTCAGATGGGAATCGAAAATTAGTTGTCATGGATGAGGTAAAGTTAGACTTCTATAAACCTTGCGTTTAATGACATGCTTGTATTTCATTAAACTGAAATAACCGTGCAAGAAAAGTCAGGTTTAAAAGTAAATTAGTTATCACAGATGTTACTGTACGAGTCACTGGTCTCTCGCAAGGAGTTGACGTGGTTGGCCCTCCTTGGTAACTTTATAAAAATAAAAAATCAATTTAATGTCAGTTATCCCAACCTGCAAGAATTCATTTCCGGGAGGTATATTTCGATAACAAGATTGTGGGGGTGGGAGGGAAGGCTAACTTTCGCGTTCGCGAGGCACAAACGCAAAGTCTCTCCCTCTGTACAGTGCACGCGCAGCGCGCTGTATGTTATGCGCGCAGTATGTCTCGCTCTAACATTATATCCCGGGAGATTTGAACTAATTTGCGGGCATCAGGGAAACGCTATCAATATGCGGGAGATCCGGGAGACCTGGGATGTCTGCAATGTACATTTGACACATCTTTTCATGTCGTGTAAGTATTCAACCACAGCTACAGTTTCACAAAATTAACGTTAAGGGGGTCGCACACCGGACGAGAAGCTGCAGCGCCGCGTTGCACCACATAATTATTCGAACACATTATTATCTATAAGTGTACACATACCGGCGGCGCCATTCGGCGTCTGTCCGCGGCGCCCAGCAACGTTTCAGGACCGTGTTCAAAACCCTGCTGCGCCACAGAGCGCCATTTACATAGTTTTATATAAAATTGTAATTATTTTTGCCTCAAACCGTTGCTAATGGATCCTGACTTTGCCCTATGCTGCAATATCTATGCATTTAGTTTTGCAGTCATTTACAGAAATCAGCTGCTTGAATGACAATTACTGATTATTATTAGATTTTTCACGTGAGATTCTCAATTCATTCTGTGAACGGATGCTCTGAGGTAAAGTTTTCAGAATGCAGACTCAGCAACGATTGTATTTAATTGTACAGTACAATAACATAGAACAGACATTATCTTCATTTTCTGTCATGAAACATAACAATATTGCTGGCCATACACTGATGAGAAAGTGCGCGTCCGGTGTTCGATAACGTTACTGGAGTTGTCCTAAACGTGACGCGGCGCTTCTCGTCCGGTGTGCGACCCCCTTTACAGCCAACAGTTCACATTCCGAGAATAAATGAAAAGAATATATGTGCTCCATTCCATAACAAATGCGCGAAACAAGCTGCCGTTTGATAGGCGCTAACGCACAACTACAACTACCGCATTTGTCCAGGACTACACGTAGTAAGAGCGGAAACCGAGGTAAGCGGATATGACGCGATTGACTCGCGACTCCCAGCTCACCCCTGCTGACACGTGCCGTTTCCTTGGTTAAAATCTCAATTTTCTCGCGATTTAAACATTGTTTGAAACATTTGGAATATTGTGAGTTATCATCTTTACTAAATATATAACACTGGCCTTGTGATTTTGGGATATTTTAATGCAAAAATCTTAGGTATTGCACCTTTAATGCACTGCTTTTGAATTAGTTTGCTTTGATTACTTTGCTGGATTCCAACTGTGAAGAGGCAAAAGTGCTTAAAATATTCCATTTCAATGTGTTTTGAGATTTGAGAAGTTCAGAATGTGGACGCAGTCCGGCCTTGCATTTTCTCTGACGTTAGTTTGTTAGCAGATTATTCTGAGTTCAAATTCATATTGGTCAATGACATGACTCCTCTTTGTCCTATATATTAATTTATTTAAAAATACATTGAAATGCAATTCATAAATTCAGTTACTTAAATACACCACTACTATGATTTTTTTGGACAAAGTCAAAAATGGCAGGATGATACAACAAGTCCTTTTCTTTATCATGGATAGGGCTGGGTATCGATTCACATTTCAGTTTCGATTCGATTTCGATTCACAAGCTCTCAGTTCGATTCGATTTCGATTCTCGATTCAATTTTCGATTTCGATTCTCGGTTTCCTGATTTGATTCTCGATTCGACTATAATGAAGATGTAATACAAATCCTATATTTATAAAAAAGAACAGTGGACATAAGTTTACTAGTGGTTATTTAATACAAAGAAATTAAGAGCCATAAACCTGTATATAAAACTCTTTTTATTTTAGGTACACTAAATGCATACAAAGAATAAACAGGATTTTGATGCAATGTGCAAAAAAAGTCAGAACAGTCGCACAGCTTGATCAAACAGTATCATGTTATTTTATGTTTAAGATAGATATAGATAAATAAATATATAAATATTTAGACATTTTTTTACATTGATCTTACCTAAATGGTAATGTAATTTTTTTGTTTTTTGTTTTAAGAGTTTATGTATGGAAGCTTGATTTCAATCTTTGAATTAAATTGAAAAAAGTAGCACAAATAAATACAATAGAATAAAGACACAAATTAAGAGACATTTTGGGGTAGTTTTTTGGGTATGTCAGAAATACTACAGAAACTGAATAAAGTAATCCAATGTAAAACAACACTGGATATTCTTTTTAGTCGAGACTGAATAAATACAAAGGCTTTTAATTCTGATTGCTTACAATTAATACTATATTCTGTTGTTATGACAACAGAATTAATGACTGACACAAATGGCTGCGTTCACTTTAAGAACTAGTGCGCGAATCCATACTGTTTCATTAACTTTCTGTCACACGCTTTTAATGCTAATTTAAGACATTACCGACTGTCTTTACGAGGTTACTCACCAAGACCAGAGTTTTGACAATGTCGCGTGTTTTAACTGTTAAAGTGATATAATCCAGGGACAAAACTTTTGTTTCTGGCGAGCTGTTTGTGAGGCAGATTGAGGTTGTACTGTGCACGCAGTGAAAGACATCTCTGAGAGTGCGCGAGCACGGGATGGTTTAACATTGCTTGTAAAACAAAAAAAGACGTGAAAATGATAAACGTTAGTTACGATCATAGGTTACGATGCAATGCTGGCCCGATTGTTAAGTGAATATTCCGTCGTGTCCCGACTCCTGAACGCGCGTGTGTATCGACAGCTGCAGCGCTTGGCGCTTGCCTAGTGCAGAGAGACGAGAAGATGCAGCACCGCGTCCGCGAGCCCTTTATATGGAAAAAATCGATTCGTGGCCGTTGAGAATCGATTTTGAATCGAACACATTTTAAAAAACGATTAATCGAAAAATCGTTTTTTTTTGCCCAGCCCTAATCATGGATGTTATATGTCGCTCACCCAGATACTGCAAATTGCGTTGTCCACACCTCTCATTCATGATTTCATGTTTGAAGTTGCTCATTTCACGGAAGAAATGTCCCTTTTTATTTTCCCATTGGTGTGCCTGAAAAGACTCTTGATTTGCTCTTCACAATGGTCTTGTTGCATCTTTGGCTCACCGGTCTTTTGCTAACTGCATGATTCTTTTGTTTCTTCTGCATCACCACGGATCCTTGTTCTCCCTAAATCATTCCTTCCCTTTTTGTGTGTTTTACCCTTGCTGCTTTGTGACTCGTGCCTTAATATCTCGATGTGTTCTGCTCTGGTTCTCGACCTCCCCTAAAGCCCGTCCGAAAGTTCTGTGTCCCGCCTAAGTCCACTGAGCTGCTCTTGTCCCCCAGTTCTAGCATCACTGACTCCCTAAAACCAAACTCAGAACAAAGCGGGGTGAAATCCCCAACGTCTAACTCCCTAAAACCAAACTCAGAACAAAGCGGGGCGAAATCCCCAACGTCTAACTCCCTAATATCTGAGTTTCTCTTGCCCTACCCAAAGACCCAAACTCTTCCAGCCAAACCCAAAGACAAACCCTTACAGTCCGTCCGATCAAACCCTTTACCTGAAACCGAGCCGGAACCCATTTTGACAGCCAAGTCAGAACCTTCGACTCCGTGTCAGCCTCAAGCTCCCTGTTTTCCGGGGTCCCCACTGGTGCGACGGGTGACCCCTGCGTCCATCACTCCCCCTACGCTCTCAGTCCCTTTTAGGCCTGTTGTCCCTCTTTCCCCCATCCGTCTACACCACTTTCACCCTGTGCCCGGCTCTGACCACACCACCAAATCTATCCCTACCATACAGGTGACCCCCCACCCCTCTCCAAGGGGCAGCCCTATCCCTACCCCCAAAGGAACGCCCGTGCACACGCCTAAGGACAGCCCAGCGGGAACGCCGACCCCTACGCCACCCCCCAGCCCCTCCATCGGGGGAATGCCCTGGAAGACTCGCCTCAACTCCATCAGGAACAGCTTCCTGGGCTCGCCACGCTTTCACCGCAGGAAACTGCAAGGTATCGTGAGAAACTGGTGGATGCAGTCAACAATCTACAATTCATCCATCCATTTATCCATTCTCCAAACCACTTGTCGGGTCACGGGTCATTATAGACCTAAAATAAAGCTCTTACCTCCTCCAGGATTTTTTTAATGCTTGTTGTGGCTAAATTGCCTCATTTACATAAACTGACTGTAAAACTAATAATAAGCCTGCTTCCATGGTTACCACCTTGGTACTTTGTTTCAGTAGCATCAGTTGCATTTCTAAATAGCTTTCGCTGCATGCGACCCATTATTGTTGGTATAACTTTTAAAGCAAAGTTGAATGAGCAACCTGTGATAAATACTCATTTGCATGCAACTATAGGCTCTAATTATGTTTGTCCTACTTAGTGAGATGTTAAATTAGTTAAAGAACTATTTGAAAGTCATACGACCTTGATGACTGATAAAAACATCTTTGCTTTATTCGGAACAGTCCCCACTCAAGAGGAAATGTCCAGCCTCACGCCAGAGTCTTCCCCAGAGTGAGTAGCCTACACATCCTCATGGATTTTCCTTTGATTTCTATTGTATCTTTATCAAGCTATTGAATAAAAAGCTATTAATTACATTGTTTCTATATATACTACCTCGCCAAAAAAAGTCACTGTTTGGATTTAAATGGGCAAATGGTTAAAAGTCGATGATTGGGGTCATTATTGCAGTGATTATTGTGTGTCTAGCATGTTATACGTTTGGCATCAGTTCTTCTAACCCTTACTGATGGAGTGTGTAGCTTTTAATTTCTTGAACAACCATGTATGAAGACACATCATGGCCATATTCCAGTATGTCAATACAGAGTGCTGGACTCTTGGATTGTCAATACAAGATCTTAACCAAAAATCTATGCACTTCTTGATGGAAATATCATCACAACATTCATTTCCATCAAAAGGTGCATCGATTTGTCATCAAGATCTTGTAACTAATGTTAACAAATACAAGTTTTAAGTTGAATAATGTAACATTTACTTACATTTACAAGTATTGTTCATTCGTGGTTCATGTTAACAAAATTTGTTGACTAATGTTAACTAATGAAACCTTACTCTAAAGTTTTATTTAACCTGTTAACTGTCACCCCCCCCCCCCCCTTTTTTTGAATAGACATGAAAATGCACATTTCTAACTTAAATGGTTGTAATTCAAGAATGCTTTGGAATATAGACATATGATTGGTCTTGTTTTAAAGAAGACATTTGGCAGATTTTTGTAGAAGTGAAAGAAATTAAAAAAGTGAAACAGAAAAAAAGTTATAGAAGTTTGAGTTTATGGAAATGTACAATGTAAAAATATTAATTATTCATATTTTACATAAAATATATATTTTCAAAACCTGGGCTACTCTAAAATGTCAGAAAGATCAAAGCCAAAAATCTGAACAAGTTGTGTTTCAAATTTTAGGTTGATATCTCAAAAAATGAGCTTTCAGTAAGATTTTGTTTGAGCGCAGTACCAAACTTTTTCACTAGGGCACAATCAGACTCCATTACTGCCCATATAAGGGCGTCTGCATTTCCATTCATGTTTTGAGTGATATGAACCATTATTTTCACAATTTTCATACAATTTCTGAAGTAGAGATCCTTTTCAGAAGTAGCATGGGAAGTTTGGCAGATTTTGATATGAATTGAACCTCTAAGAAACACATACAAAGAACACGCATGCAAGTCATAGCTAGCTGCCACGTCACAAATGGTGAATTTATTATTTTTTTCTTGATATTTCAAACTTTTCAGACCTTTTTTTTCCAAAATCATTGAATGGATTCTTTTTTTTGAACTTTTGGCATGAAAACAAACTGAGGTATCTACCATTTTTTCATGATTTTTCATGTTTACTGCTATTTTAAAATAAAGGTCTGAACACGCCTTATGAGTATGAAAATATTCTTGTTTTATATTGATAAATTATGGCTCCTCTGTAATATATTTTGAAAATCAGTCACCAAATATGGAAACTAGAGATTGTAAGCTTTCAAATGATATATAGTTTGTCAATATTATTTAAGGTATTTACTAAGATATTATTGTTTTAAAAATATAGTGGCAAACGTCCCACCTGTGGGACGGTGACAGTTAAGTGGATGTATATACATGGACATTTGTTTTCCATGAAAAAGCAATAGTGCTTTTCTAGCTTACCATTAAGTTTTGTGCTGGAAACACCTTTAAAATACAGCCACCAACAAACCTCCTCTGAAAAAGACGAATTGTAGACCTTGAGCAATACTTACCCAACAACAGTGTTGATGTAAAACCCCCTTAGCACTTCAGAAACCATTGTGAGTTATGTTTGCCTCTGTTAAACCATTTAGTGTTTTTTTCCTCTCTAATGGAAGCTCAGTCATATCTTTCTCCCACCGAGGGTCTCGGCGCACAGCAGACAGCAGTCACAAACTCTCTCCCCCACACGGAGTGATGCCTCATCCTCTTTTGTTTTCTATTTTGTCTTCCATAACTTATCCGCCTCTCTCTCGCTCTCCGCGCCAGCTGGATAAGCCGCAGCACTCTCTGCTTTCTTTTGTCATCCTCTGCCATAAATCAGTTTCTGGAAGCTAAGTTGTGAGCGACTGTGCTTTGTTGATACACAACACTGGCGAACTGAAGCTTTTTAGAGCTAGAATAATGTTTAGACAGACAGTTATTCCTTTATATGTTAAAACAAGGCCAATTTACAGCTGCTAGATTAAACACCTGGGGTTTTGGTTGATTTTCCATCAACAGAGATGGTTTAATTCTCAGAGAACTACTGCAGCAAAATTGCAACAGTTGTTTAACAATACTTTCTCTAAATATGGGTTACAAATGCATATACCGGCAGCTAGTACTCTGAAATGTATCAGAAATATTTTTTGAATTTGTTTATTTAAATTTCCTAGGATTGCTAAGTCAGCATGGCCATCGAGACAAAATATCACTAAACATTTCTTAAAGGGGTCAAATAATAATAATAATAATATATTTTTTTTTTTTACTATTTTTGCTGTGTGGCAAGAGCATCTTATGGATTTTTGTACGAATAAATATTTCTTACAGCCATCATCAATATAACCTCATGCAAAGTTCATCATGTTAATTCATGGTAGATGCTCTGCTGTGTGCCGATCTTTCATAGAGTCCCTTTTATAAATGATTCAATATCAATTTATTTTGCATAAGCGCCATAGGGTTGCTCTTATTCTGAGTTCTGATATGGACTGCTCTTGTTGCTCACTGATATGAAGACTTCATAAACAGTTCATGTTTTGTATTTCTCTCGCCCTGCAGACTTGCCAAAAAATCTTGGTTCGGTAACTTCATCAACCTAGAGAAAGAAGAACAGATCTTCGTGGTTATTAAGGACAAGCCACTGAGCTCTATAAAAGCCGACATCGTCCACGCTTTTCTCTCGGTGAGAAATCTGTTTTGCATGGCTCCAATCCCGTTTCATTCCAATGTTGTGGACGACATCTATGAATATATTTGAATGTATGCTTCTACGTTCTCTCTATCAGATCGAAAGACGCAGCAGGAAGCCTGTGTTTTTACGTTTGCAAACACCTTTCTGATTTGTGTTTCATTTCTGCAAAATGCTAGTGTGTGATGTTTCCATCCTTCCCTGTGGCTGCCTCTTTCATTAGAGGTCAATGGAAAATCAACGCCGGGCATGAATCATTAGCATATAGATGTTGTGCCTCGAGAGGTTTGTGGAAAAGGGAAAGGAGTTTAGTGTGTCATTTAGACCGGCAAGTGGTTTAAATGTCTGTTTAAAAACTTGCTTGTGGTTAGTGATGTTTTCCTCACATTCGGCTACACGAAAGTTAGAAATAGCCACAAGTTTCCATGGAGGTGCTTCCAAATATGTAAGAGCTAATGGAGCTTTGCCGTTCTCCTCCCTCAGATACCCAGCCTCAGTCACAGCGTCGTCTCGCAGACGAGTTTTCGGGCCGAGTACAAATCTACAGCCGGTCCCACCGTCTTCCAAAAGCCTGTTAAGTTCCAGGTTGACATCACGTACACCGAGAGCACCGTGACCACCAAGGAGAATGGCATCTATTCAGTCACCTTTACTCTGCTCTCAGGTAAACACAACACAGCACCTGCAATCAACACCAATCATCAAGCCCGTAGATCACGGGTCTAGCTTGAAAACACAAAAATAGCTGTGGGGAAAAAGTAAAAAAGGTTAATTATTTGTACCTTTTTGAATCTTATTTGGGATAATCACATTGAATTTGTTATAATAACCTGCAGCAGTATTTTTACAAGAAAAACGATCCCTGGTAGAGCATATTGGGTCAATTTGGCAGCATGGTTGGATGATAAAAGCTAAAAAATATATATATATCTTTATATTTTTCTGCCTTTTTGCATCTCGATATTTGTGTATTTGCTCTGAAATAACATTTTTATGGGATTTATCAGTTATATTTAGCCATAATTTTGACTGCCTTTGTTCCCAATTAGATTCAAAATGTTTAAAAGCTATAAATATGTACAATTTGGTAATAATTTGTATTTCTAGTCAACAATACATTGTTGCTATAGAAGAAGGTTAACTTCTGTTTATTACTCAAACATTTTACTACATGAGAAATGCCAGGGGGGAATATTTTGTGATAACAGCCGATAGTGAAACTACACTGAAAAACATTTGGTGAAGGGATTACTTTGATAAAAGATTCACTCAGAAATTGCTACTGTAGTAAATTTTACAGTTTCAAAGAAACGGCAAGTAACATATCACATTTATTGTGAAATTATGAAGTAGAAAGAAATAGTATTTTCTAGTGAAATGTTTTACAGCCTAGTTTAATGACATTGGGTCTCATTCACTAATAACAATTAGCGGAGTTTTTGTATTTATGCACAGAGCATAACTTCTCTCACACACACACAAAAAAATTGGACTAATCCTCAACAATTTGTTCTGAAACTATTTGGAGTATTCTTCTAAATGAGTGTCAGTCATTTGCATAAAACAAACCTAAACCATGTCCATGTAAGGGCCATATATTAGGCTCAGCAAACACACACACACACATATATATATATATATATATATATGATGAAATATAATTGAGAACACATATTTCAAATATGTTTTTTTCAAAAAAAAAATTCACTTTCTGTTTCAGTTGTTTATTTTTTGTTGTTGTAAATTTAGCGTACATTTTAGTAAAGTTAATTTTATTTTATTATAGTTTAATTATAATTTGTTTGTGAAAACACACAAGATTTCAACACACACATGATTTCACACACAAACACACACATGATTTCACACACAAATTGATGAATACGCATGGTTAGGGAATGAGACCTATTGTCTTGTGTAAACTTAAAGGAGTAGTTCACTTTTCAAAAAAAAAAAACGTTTGCTGATAATTTACTCACCCCCATGTCATCCAAGATGTCCACGTCTTTCTTTCTTCATTCGAAAAGAAATTAAGGTTTTTGATGAAAACATTCCAGGATTTTTCTCCATATAATGGACTTCAATGGGAACCAAATGGTTCAAGGTCCAAAAGACAGTTTCAGTGCAAACTGCAAACTGTTCAAAGGGCTTCAAACGATTCAAGACGATGAATAAGGGTCTTATCAAGCGAAACGATCACTCATTTAAAAAAAAAATAACAAAGTTTAAGTTTTATAAGCTCAAATGCTCACCTTGCTCTGTTCTGTGATGCACTTTCGTTCATCTCATCATCATCATCAAAATGAACGAATCTTTTTCCGAGTCAATTTGTTTGTTTCGTTGATTGAATGAACCAAATGATTCGGAAAAAGATTTGTTCATTTTGATAAATGAGTTCGAACAGGAGAGTCACAAACGTGCGTCACAGAACAGAGCAAGGCGACCGTTTGAGCTCATAAAACTTAAACTTGTTTTTTTTTGTTTGTTTTTTTTTAATGAGTGATCGTTCGCTTGATAAGACCCTTATTCATCGTCTGGAATAGTTTAAAGCCCTTTGAACAGTTTGCAGTTTGCACTGAAACTCTCATTTGGACCTTGAACTGTTTGGTTCCAATTGAAGTCCATTATATGGAGAAAAATCCTGGAATGTTTTCATCAAAAACCTTAATTTCTTTTCGTCTGAAGAAAGAAAGACATGGACATCTTGGATGACATGGGGGTGAGTAAATTAACCGCAATTTTTTTTTATTCAAAAGTGAACTATTCCTTTAAAGGTTAGAGTTGTATTTTTGAATCACCAGCAAACTCATTGCAAATATATTGTGAATATTTAATGTAAAGCCTATTGCTGACAGTGTACACTTCTTGGCTAACTTAAACAAAGCTGAAGACAGGTGTAAATGGGGCCTAAAACGTTTTGAGCTTGTCCACTTTCGACCACTTCCAGAGGTAGTAGAAAATGCAATCTGGTCAAAATGCAAGACCGGATTGCTTTCATAGTGTAAACGCTCATGTGGTCGAATGTGTTCAAACAGCCACACAAGACCGTCTTCTCTCCGCCTACTGATCTCATGTGTAAACATTATGGAAAGCACTAGCCAGAAGGGATTTAAACTTTGTCGACTGGAGACCCAAGTTTGGTTTGAAGGCAAAAAAAGTCCAAAGAACAATGTTCCTGATTTCTAACACACAGTCACATCGTTCGGCTGGGCTTTCTGCTGTGAGAGCAGAAACGAAAACTGATGCTCTCAATGTGTTTTTCCGTCGTCTCTTTTTGTGTTCCTGTGTAAATATATGTAAATAGCTTCAGATTGTTTTGTCCATAAGATTGAAAGATCTAAAAAAAAAAAAAAAACATACATTTACACTACATACGTAGACCTCGACCTTCCCTCGATGTAATCAGGACAGAAGTGGTTGAAAGTGGACAAAAGAGACGGATTAAATCACGAGGGAATGTGTCTCCCTCGTCGACTAATAAACTCATCTTAAAGGAGAACTCCGGCGAACAATGAACCTTCGGTCTAATAAAACATCGGTACATAGTCAACCGTTCTCTGAGTTTTGTTTTCATGATAATCGAATGTAAAAAGTTTTATCTCTTAAAACTGTTTAGCGTATAATGCTAGTACTGGGGGCATGTACTAAGTAAAAAGAAATCGCTAGTTTATACCAAACAAGGCTCAAAATAGCCCCACACTAACACAGTAACATAATGAGGCTCCATACATAGAAAACGAAGCATTGAGAACTTTGTAAGTGTGCAGACCGTTTAATAAGAAGATACTTTATGAAGACAGTTCACTTCATTTATACAGACATGAGCCATCTTAAAAAATAGTCTCGAGAAGTCAAACCACGAATGTCGTGCTGAGTGATCTGAACTTTATGAAGTTCAACGAACTTCTGAACTGTATGAACGGCGTTCGGGGATCGACTTATCGAGACTATTTTTTAAGATGGCTCCTGTCTGTATACGCGAAGTGAACTGTCTTCATAACGTATCTTCTTTTTAAACGGTCTGTACACTAACAAAGTTCTCAATGCTTCGTTTTGTATGTATGGAGCCTCATTATGTTACTGTGTGAGTGTGGAGCTATTTTGAGCCTTGTTAGTGGTATAAACTAGCGATTTCTTTTTACTTACTCAATGCCCCCATTACTAGCATTATACGCTAAACAGTTTTTAGAGATAAAACTCTTTACATTCGATTATCATGAAAACAAAACTCAGAGAACGATTGACTATGTACCGATGTTTTATTAGACCGAAGGTTCATTGTTCGCCGGAGTTCTCCTTTAATACCAGGTGTAAACGGGGCCAATGTGAAGACACCATTAGACACATTTCCATTTAATTCTCAGATTGAGCCATATACTCTCTTACACACCAATTATAACATCAATATATTGCAGAAGTTGCAATAACAACTAAGATAAATACAGCACTTAAAAATAGGTTGTAGAAGTATTGGCTAATACATCATTCTCCTTTATTTTCTTCCATTAATATTCATTATGTCTCCACATAAAAAGCGCAGCTCTTTCTACTGCAGTGTGTGGCCCATGGCGTTGTCCACCTAGCTGAGATAAGAAGGACCGCAAGTTACAAGTAGTTTTACAATAAATTCCTGTCAGATTTCTAAAAGGCTCACATGGTTCACATTAAGATTTTTCTGTCTGTGGATGTATTTCTCCTTTTACTATGGTGCAAACATGACTTGAATGAGTAGTCAAATAATCCTTCTTAAGGAAACCCTTCCAGTTTCAACAAGAAAATGTCAACAGACCCTTTTCTTTTTACATGAGACCTGTTACACTTTATTGTAGGTCCAAGTCGGCGCTTTAAGCGGGTGGTAGAGACGATCCAGGCGCAATTGTTAAGCACACACGACCAGCCGGGGGTCCAACAGCTGTCTGGTGAGTATGAATCCCCTGTCCCTTCCCCCGCCCCGACCCGAGCCCCATGTTCCCTCTCATAGCTCTCCTTCATCACGCATGCCCCCGCACCCCTCGACCACAGCACAGCATCACAGTATATGATCCCACCCTGCAGACGCTAGAAGAGATGGGGAGTTTTGCAGTTTTTGGTGATTCCCTTCGGCTACACCGATGCTCCCGTTTCTCAGGCGGCATTAGCGGTAGCATTCCCTGACAATTCTCCAAGCCTTCATGATTTCTGGCTTTGGGAGACTGTGTCCTTATTTGGGCTGGTAATATAAAGGTTTTCTTGTCGGGATAATCCCAAAACGGAAGTCTTGCTTTGTCCCCAACAATTTGATCAGACAGCTATTGTGCTAAACCAAACAGAACACAAAAGACACAAATCAGGGACATTACAATAAAAATATTAAGTTTTGAGACAATATTTTTCAGTGTATACCTTCTAATACCTCAAAATACCTCAAAAAGCTGGTTATGTGGTTCATCAGAAAGAGAAAAGAAAAGAAAAGAAAGCTACTTTTTTGTAATTCTTCATTTACCTGGTGCACGTCCTCTCTTTTTGACACATGATGATATTTGACTGTGTCCCAAAACCATCTCCCTGATAACAGCTCCACCTACTGGTCTGATAGATGAACAACAACATCTTTTAGACAAAAGCAATACATTTAACCCAACTTTTCTTTTTAGGTTTTATCAAATGCACACGAACACAGATGTTCCAATATTGGAACAATATTATTTCTGACAATGGAACTCCAAAGATATTTAGTTGCTGTATATTTAGCAACTTTTTCATGTTATTTGTTCTAAAAGTCAAGTCAGGCAAGTCACCTTTAGGCAGCTTTACGGTGATAAGAGGAAAATAATGCAACAAAGTTTGTTTCTAGAAGAAAATAGCATCACAGTCCATCTTCACTGCAAAAAAATACTTTTCTTACATAGTATTTTTTATCTTGTTTCTAGTCCAAATATCTAAAAAATTCTTAAATCAAGATGCATTTACTAAATGAGAAAATGCCATTAATATTTTCTCTTGTTTTCTGGGTAAATAAATCAAAATTAAGTGAATTGTTGCTTAAAAAAGCTAAACTATCTGACCTCAGAAAACAAGATATAATATTATTGTATCCTCTAGTAAATGCATCTTGATTTAAGATTTTTTTTAGATATTTGGAATAGAAACTAGACAAAAATACTAAATAAGAAAAATACTATATATATATATATATAGGTTAATTTAGTTCTACACTCAAAGTTGTTTATCCATTATAAAACTTTTATAATAAGTTTCTCATGTTAACCAAGGCTGCATTTATTTGATAAGAGTGGGGGGGGGGGCAGTAATATTACAATTTAAAAATAATTGTTTTCTATTTTAATATATTATTAAAATCTCATGATCCTTCATACGATGCTGATCTAAAAATGCTAAATATTTAAGCATTTTTTGCTAATGGTATTTTGGACCCCACTGTGTGTGTGTGTGTATATATATACACACACACACATTAGTTATAACTTTTACCTATCGTTAAGTAGTATATCATAACAAGAGGGTGAAGTGGTCATCAAGAGTGTTTGTTACTGCCACTCTTGGGAGATTTCAGGGAGTGTTGGGCAACAGGAAGACATTTCCAGAGCACCTCAAGAGAGTAGATCCTCCCTTTTTCTCCTCCTGTCGTCCTTCTCTGTTCCCTTTCACTGTCTATCTCTCTTTCTCCTTCCCTTTCACTCAAACATGTCACATTCATTGCTCTTCACGTCTCATTCAGCGCTGTATGACTCACTGTGTTTTGAACGCACTACGGCACTGCACAGATGAATGGCACATACTCACTGCAGTCAGATTGCACGTACCGGTCCAAAAATAAACCACTGAATTAATTGTTATTTTGTGGAGGAGGTTGTGGTTTTCTGTGTGTATGAAAATAACTAACCTCCCAATATTCTTTAGTTTCATGAGACAATTTTTATTCCAAACAAGCATAATCATCCACACAAACTTGTCTAATAATCACCCAACCGAAGTCTCGCCCCTACTGTGGTCCCATGCTTGTTAATGGGAAATTGTTCATTTGCTTGATCTGGGCATGATGAAGAGCACACACAGCATGTGCTAATGTGCTAATGCGCTGATCCGATTTATAAACCAAAAAAAAAACAAACAAACAAAAGATTTAGGGAATTTTCAACTTTTTTAACCCTCTGGGGTTGTTCGTTTCAGAGTCACACTCGGGGTGTTCGGGTCCAAATGGACCCAAAGGGCGGGATTCATATTTTAAAAAAAAATCTATTTTTTTTTTTACTCGTTTTTCGTAATATTTTTCTTTTCTTTTTTGGTGTTTTGAGAAAATTTCAAAACAATATATATATATATATATAATTAGTATTAATGCAATAATTATGACAAAATTTTTACCCATTGAACATAATAGAAAAAATATTTAAAAAAAGAAAAAAACAAAAATAATTTTTTTAAAGCTGTATTTCATTTCAGAGTTGAGCCTAGGCCTCATAAAAGCAATTTTTGAAATGAGATGGATGCCATCTGGTGGACAAAATGAGCATTTTAAAAATGCAAAACACGTGTATAATCTGAATTTTTTGGTGTGTTTGTGTATAAAAGTGTGTTTGTGTGTGTTTGTGTGTCTGGATGTGTCTGTTTTGCACTCTTGATGTTTTATAGATTCACCCCTTCACTGTTGTGTGCTTTTTTTCAAGATTGTGGCTGATTTGTAGATTGTACGCACAAAAAAACGTCTCGGTTACGTATGTAACCCTCGTTCCCTGAGTAGGGAACGGAGACGTTACGTCAGAAGTGACGGAGATTGGGGGTTTCGCATAGAAAGCCAATCCTCTTCGAGTATTTAAACACGAGCCAATGGCATGCAATGCCTTGGGGCTGCGGAAATTTGCATAGCGTACTCCGCCCTACTCCGTGAGTATAAAAGGAGGAAGTGAACGCAACCGCAGTATGTCTTCGCTGAGGAGCCAAGACTGAACTCGGCATCTACCCAGCGATACAGCAGAAGTGGCAGGGAGACGTAACGTCTCCGTTCCCTACTCAGGGAACGAGGGTTACATACGTAACCGAGACGTTCCCTTTCGTAGTCACTTCGAGTTACGTCAGAAGTGACGGAGATTGGGGGTCTGTGCCATCACGCCATCTTCAAGCTGTCTTCCAGTGCCCTGCGAAAGACTGAACCCCCTGAGCCTTACCTCTTTTTTTTTTTTTTTTTTTTGGGGATCCGACTTTGACACAGGATTACCAAGGTACACTGGGAAACATATCCCGAAGGGGACATGCAACCAGCTGCCTACCGAAGGGAGGACTTATGAATACACATATGGCCACATAGGAACGCATATGGAACACTGGAGTACCAACCGCAGGTGGCTACTAGTTTAAACTCCAGGGGTGGCAGATGGCTTGCCAAGGGAAGACACATGCTCAGAGAGGCTTACAGTGGATAATACACATGAGACGGTTACCATGGGGAACCGTGCGCATGGAGGCACCTAGCTAGCATCCAGAGCAACGCAGTGGTGCCCGCATCGTCGGTGCTGGAGGACTCAAGACTTCAATGGAAGAACTGAGGAAATATCGCACTTATCCAGTCCGGGGAGTGGAGTGGCGAGCAAGCGAAGACACCTGAGCGGATCCAGAACTGGCCGAAACGAGTACGTGAGAGGATACCGGCTCAATTCGCAGATTATAGAATCTGGCGAAGGTGTTGGGTGTCGCCCAGCCTGCAGCTCTGCAGATGTCTGTTAGCGAGGCGCCGTGCGCTAAAGCCCAAGAGGAGGCTACACTCCGAGTGGAATGGGCCGTCACACCAAGGGGGCACGGAAGGCCTTGCTGCTGGTAAGACAAAGCAATGGCATCCACTATCCAGTGGGACAGCCGTTGCTTTGAGAGAGCCCTTCCCTTCTGGCTCCAGCGCATCCGAGCCGAGAGTGCCGCGGGTCAGAGAATAAGACTGGGCGCAGTGGGACGAGTCCCGAGAGGCGAACAGGTCTATCTGTGCCTCCCCGAACTCGTCCCAAATCAGCTGGACCGACTGGGGATGGAGTCGCCATTCGCCGGAGATGGGGCGGACCCGGGACAGCTCGTCGGCTGCCCAGTTCCGGTCTCCAGGAATGTAAACTGCACGAAGGGACCTCAGGTGCTTCTGACTCCATATCAAGAGGTGGCGGGCGAGCTGCGACAACTGGCGTGAGCGTAGACCCCCCTGGTGGTTGATGTACGCTACTGCCGTAGTGTTGTCTGAGCGGACAAGCACATGCTGGCCCTTGAGCAACGCTCGGAAGCGGCGTAGGGCGAGCCGTACTGCCAACAGCTCGAGGCAATTGATGTGCATGAGGCGCTGGGCTCCTGTCCAGGAACCGGCGGCTGCATGCCCATTGCACATGGCACCCCAACCCGTGGTAGATGCATCCGTGGAGACAACGAGATGCCTGGAAACTCGCTGAATAGGGACGCCGGTCCGTAAGAAGCTGAGGTTCGACCACGGGAAGAAGGTTCGGCGGCACGCTGGAGTCACTGGAACTCGGAGCGAGCCGCGATGCCATGCCCACCTCGGGACTCGATCGCGAAGCCACAGCTGAAGCGGTCTCATATGAAGCAAACCGAGCGGCGTTGCCGCGGCCGCGGATGCCATATGCCCCAGGAGCCTCTGAAATAGTTTCAGTGGAACCGCACTCTTGCCCTCGAACTGTCGAAGACAAGTCAGCAGTGAGTGCGCGCGCTCGTTCGTGAGCTGCGCGGACATGGCGACCGAGTCTATCTCCATGCCGAGAAAAGAGATCCTCTGCACGGGGCAAAGTTTGCTCTTCTCCCGGTTGACCCGAAGGCCCAAACGGGCTAGGTGCCGGAGCACCAAGTCTCTGTGTTCGCAAAGCTGAGCTCGAGAGTGTGCTAGTATTAGCCAGTCGTCGAGATAATTCAGGATGCGAACCCCGTGTTCGCGAAG